GGCCGCTGGCGGCTGCGGCCTGGGCTCCGTGGTGGTTTTGGGGGTTTTGTTGTGTTTTTCGTTCTTTCGCCGGTGTCGCCGTGGGCGGTGCGAGGGGACGACCGGTGGCGTGTGGGACTGAGGGCACTGTTCCACGGTGTGAAGCTCTGCAAAACGAGCCCGCACCGGGATAGCTTTTGGGAAACGTAACGCCGGAATGGAGCGTGTTTCCACGGGAGTCGTCCAGTGTGTGTTACCCTGCAGTGCTTAATTAGCTGGCTGATTAAAAGCCTGCCTGTTTTACGACGTCAGCTTGGAATATTGCTCGTAGAGACTTGGCCTCAGTGAGCAAAAAGTCATTCTTTCCAACTCGGTAAAAGGGCGAGGCTGTGCTGACCACTTACTGGGAGCTGAAGTGGAGGAAGGCTGTTACTTTTCTTACTGCTTCTGTCCTTTTCGTGGCGTTTTCCTGAGCAGTGAGAGTTGACACAGTATGTGACAGGCAGACCACCCCCAAATTGTGCTGAAAATCTCTACTGCTGCCACGTTTGCAACAGGGTTTTGAATGATTGTACCCTCAGCAATAGCCCGACGAGTCAGAGATGATTTATTGCCTTCAAGAGGTGCGTTAACTCACTGCAGTTGGCTTTAAGTTTACATCTCTGACATCGCCTGTGCTGAAAGATTGAAGCTGGTATTTTGAACTCCAGCCTGTCTGGCCTCATGTAAACCCACTGAAACAGTAAGCTGTAGAGCAAGTAATATTCTGAATTGACTTCAGAATTATCTTATTTTAAAATTTATATATATTTTTTTGTCAGAACTAAGATATCCCTTTTAAGGGATATGTAAAAGAAAAATGAGACTAAAACACAGAGTAAGAAGATTATTTATGCATCAGCTTTCTATGAAAGTTCTTTAAAAGAAAAAAAATAAATCTTGTTTTTTTGCATTGTTGTTGTTGTTGTTGCAATAGATTAGGTCTTCTGCCAGGTACTTTGTTTGCTGTCGCTCATTGGTACAAACTTGAGAGTATTCGGAGTGCGTGGGTCAGTCTAGTCGATCAGGTGTTGTGTGGGACAGAGAGGAGACTCCTCTCTTGTCAGTCTCCCTGGCACTTCCTTGGCAATAGATTCTTCCGGGATATTTGAGGCTTGGCCCACAAGTCAGTATTTCTTTCCTCAACTATCAATTAAAGGTTAATAAGGTGTAAAGGAGCCTCCCATTATTTCTTAACGCGCTAATCTGAACACCCTGGATAGATGCCATTGCTGCCACCAACATGCTTGTGTTAGGTAAACGTCCTTTAAATTTACTGTTTCAAAGAAGCACGCGGGCCCTGACCACCGGTTGTGTGCGTGAGCGAACACTGCTGTGCTAGCCAGCGCCTGCATATTTCAACGTTCGTCAGGATCTGGATCATTCAGTGGAGGTTGCCAGGTGTTGGGCTGGAATGTTCATTTCTTCTGAAAAAATCTGCCTCTGGCCTTGTTTATGCCAGAAAGCAGTTGTGATAACTTCCTCCCTCCTTCATTCTTTAACTGTACAGTGATGTCTTGTCAAAAAAATATTGCTCAGGCCTCGTGATAAGCACAGGGACAAGGCTTTTTGTGTGTAGCCACCAGCTGATGTAGCAGAAATTAAATTTATTTTTTTTTCTGATTTAGCCTATCTGCACCCTTTAGAGTTCAGCACGTGTGGCAGGCTGAGTTTAATGTTCCCAAAAGGTTGGCCAGCGAAGACTTTTGTGAGAGTGAATTTAACAGCAACAAAAGCGTCGTGGTGTGGGTGGAATGCTGCTGGCTGGCCTGGATCTGCTGCCAGTGTCCTGTCAAACGCTGGAGGCGAAGCCCCGCAGCTGCGGTTTCTGATCAATCGATGGGCACAGTCGGTAACTGGCACTTACCAGCTCCGTACTCGGCACTGTGTATAGTTTCATAGTTCATCCCATACAGTTTTCAGTACGTTTTCTACGTCACGGGGGCACTCTGAATTAAAACCTGTGATCTGTAGTCCTCACGCAGTGCTTAGTGGTAAAATAAGTGAGTTTCTGTATTAGTGCTCCGTCCTTTCTCCGTAGGCCAAATCTCTCGTTACTGCAGGAGAGATGTGGGATGCTGGGCTTTGGTCAGGGGAAGTGGTTTGGTTTTTTGTTTTTTTTAAGGGGTCCTGTCTCAGTTCTCTTTAGAAGCGGTAACCCAAATCTCAGCAAAGGAACCGTTAATGAGGAATAAGCCCCCAAGACAGGGAATTAATGCAAAACAGCTATTACATTATAAATGCTCACTGACAAGTGCTGCTGGCTCTCATCGTCTTCAGAGTTCTCTGTGAAGATTCAGTTGAAAGGACACAACTGCTTGTAAAAGTGAGGCAGTATTTTTAAGTTTACTGAGCTGTTTTCGTAGTTTATCCTGTGTAATCTAAAGCGTTTTGCTATGTTGCAGTGACACTTAGCAAAGGAATTTAAATTTGGAGAGAATGTTGATCGTTAGTCCTCCCTCATTTCTGCAGACAGAAGTAATGCTGTTACAGATTTTTAAAAGATTGTATTTTTAGTCATGTTAACAGTAAATCATCTTCAAGTTCAGGAATCTATCTTAATAAAAACATCACATATCATCATATAACAGCATATAAATAAAACAACTTTGAATCTCATGTGATGCTGCGTTCTCGGTTGTGACTTTGCAAAAGCCTGTGAGAGTTTTCCTGGTTAATTTAGGTTTGTCCATAATGCTTTTCTTCTTTTTTTTTCTGTTTTCCTGTGATAGTAGCAAGGTGATTTTTTTAAATGTCCTCTTTCAGCTAAGATTCCAAGTCTTAGTTGTGATTGTTACCTCTTTCAGAGCAAAGGAACCATACTCCTCTTGCCATTCTTATTGTTTTTATTCTTTTTTTAGAAGAGTTGGAGTTTTCTGTATGATCCGCTCATCTCTTTAATAGTAAACCCATGTATTATCAGCAAGTTTTTAACTGTCATTGTTGCTATATAGCTGTTCTGTTTTCTTATCAAAAGAGCAAGTGAGAAATTTGTCTCTTCAATTGAGACGGGATATGGATTCCAGGCTCGTGTCTGTGGTGAGAGATGTTGCAATCACAAGGACAACAGATGTTGATTCACATCATACCTAATCATGAAACGTAATCCTACCCGCTGTTGCAAGAGGAGGAAGAGGCTGTTTAGTTTCTCAATAAGTTTTTTTCCACGTTGGCAATAAGCTATTTCAAGAAAATTAAGATTGAATTTACCTGTGCCTGTCAGCACGTGCCCAATACGACACAACCTTTTAGTTTTCCTCAGGACAACTTGTTTTCTTGTCAAACTTTACCTCGGATTCCTGGAAACTGGTTTTCAGTAGAATTCACAAGTGAAAGCCAAATCCAGACGTGCAGTCCGTGAGTCTGAGACGCTTCTTTGGTAACGTTTGCGTAAGAAGGAGACACTTCAAAGGTCTCTCTCTTACTTCAGGGGATGAATTATTTCACAATAAGCGCTGGTTGTAGATGGTATTTATTGTTCTGAGGAGCAGTTTCGTAACTGGGATGTTCCCTGTTTCATGACACGAGGAGATTCTCAGCTGTGTGATGTTAGAGGACATGGAATTACTTTTGGGTCAATTTTGGACAATCTAGGCAGCTTTTAATGAGATGAACATTTAGGTGGTGAAAAGAATTTGTTTTGGATAACTGAAATTTGGATGTTCGGAGTTGAGTCCCTTTGCTGAAACCTTTGAGCTGCATTTAATGTGAATCGGTTCTGGGGTTTGGTGGCGTCGGGACCAGAACTAGAGTATTTCTAATAGACATGCAGAATTTGGGTACTTAACATATACAGAAAGATTTAATTTTGAATATATTACACCTATGAAAACGTTGGTTTGGTTCTTATGCATTGCAGTCGGATTCTGATGAGGTAGCTCTATTACCTGACCGCAGTATCACCAAAATTTTCCCAACAGTGTAATGGTTCATGAAATCTTTTATTTTCATGTTTTTGTTTGTTTTTAGGTATTACTTGTGGTCGCACGCGCATCCCTGTCTTAGGAAAACTTGGGACTTTTGAGACTTGTTCCCTAAGGCGAATTCCTCTTAGAAACTTTTCGGAAACACCAGCGTATTTTGCTTCAAAGGACGGTGCAAGCAAGGATGGTCCTGGAGACGGAGGCAAGGTAATCTCCATGCGTTAGGTTTTTCAGGAGGTTTTTAGAAAGCTTCTTAAATGTTTTCAGATTTTTCCTTACTTATAAAAAGTTCAAGAAGATTCTAATTTTTAACTCTTTACAGTTCTGATCCTTCAAATTGCTACAACTGACAGTGAAGGAAAAAAAAAAGGTGTTATGAATTTGTTAGCAGACAAACCTTACAAACATCCCATAATACTTTTCCCAGTTTTAGAAATCCTTTTGCCTAGTGTAAAGGGGCACTTGAAAACTTTGTAGAATGTTACAAATCTACAACAGGCTTCAGGGTCTCAGGAAAGAGTAGCAATCAGAACTATTCTTCAAAAGCCTGCTACTCCCAAGTAGACTTTTTAAAGTAAGTACGTTTCAAAATGTTTTTGGTTTTGGTGCTGATTTGATAGTTGTATTAAGCAAGGCAAGTTTGTGAGGAGACTAGCTTTATTCTTGTTAGTGAATTATAATCTATTTCCATCCTAGTCTTTCTCTATAATTACAGTTAATAAACAGCTTCTTGAGATAAATGATTACCTCAATAAAACTGCTCTTTAGTCAGCAGATAGGATTTTGAGAGTTCACAGGCAATAGCTTTACCTTAGTGTGGCGTGTTGTGACAGCTGAGGAACTGTCCAGACGATGCAGGTGTGTTCTGAAGGTTTAGATTAAACTTTTTTAAAAAATAAAGAAGGAAGACAAAAATTTTTAATGCTCTTTTTTTTTTTTTCTCGAGTAGGGTTTCAAGAGGAAATGAGCAGGCAAGCAAGGTTTGAAAAAAGTGGGGAACTGTCTTAGAAAAGGGAAGAGACATCTTTGCTGTTTCCTAAAATCTAATAGCTTTTATTGTTAATCAAAGTACAAAGGTGTAGAATGGGTATAGAGTTAAAAAATGTTAACCTTGAACACCACTAAACAGGGTAACACAAAGAAAGTCAAGTAGGTCTCTGTCAGGGAAGTCAGCCTTAGAAGTAAAAAAATAAAGTATTTCCAAGCAGTTTCTGAGATGCTTGTTTTGTAGGCCGTATCTACCCTGCAGCCATCTGCCCGCATAGCTCCATCTGCCAAGGACATGAGGAGAGCTGTGGCTTCAGAAACCTTTAGAATCAACACAGTTGCGAAAACGAAATTACTCTCTCTATAAGTATGGTTTGTGTTCTTCTCTGGGGTTAGAATAAATTACATTGAAATATACTATTAAAACATTTTTGGCAGAGTTTAGCTTGTTACTGTTCTAGTGCCAGTCAGGCAGTTCTGACGTAGATATAGGACACCTCTTCCATGGGCACCCAAAACTGGCAGACCTGGGAAGCAAAGATGAGTGTGCACTTCAAAATGTTGTGTTGCTCGTAAGTTTTCAAAGCCTTTAAGAAATCCTGACAGCAGTAATTTTGTCATTCAGCTATTGCAATATTCACATTACCGGATTCCATAGACACACTGCTAAGTGCCTAACGTAATGGCGCCATTGTTTGGGGGTAACTGTCTGGAAATCTTTTTTAGAAGTCTGTTGGCGAGGGCGGTGGTAAGAAGTCAAGCGCTGGAAGCTCTGGGAAAGGAGGGAACCAGCTGCGCTGCCCAAAGTGTGGTGACTTGTGCACACACGTGGAGACCTTTGTCTGTAAGTTTTAATAAATTCTTTCGTTTATGTATAGCTACAGATGTGCTTGTATTTGTGATCTAATGTAGTCCTGATAGCTAAGTTTTAGCCTACGTAATTCTACAATGGCAGAAACTTTGTTGTGCTTAATTTGACCATGTTGGCATCAGCACGTATTGTCTGTGTGGATATTAAAATAGTTGGTTACGTTTTATGCATAAACAACACCGCTTTAACTACTGATACTTCTTTCTGTCCACTATATATACACATGTTTGTAATGTCTGTCCTTTTTTTGCTAAAGAGTAAAACTTTAATCCTGCATGTACTATAACCAAAGTGCTTATCCAGCAGAGGAATAAGTAGGTGACAGATGGCTTACTGGAATGGTGTTCTGTGGTGATGTCAGGGTCATAACATATTCCAAATAGGAGGCAAGAAGGTCCAAATAGAAAATCCTCAAAGTATCAGATGCCTGGTGTCCAGCAAGAATAGCAACCTTTCTTTGAAGGACAGTCCAAATTAATACCAATTATGCTTTAGGTTCTATCAGACTTGAAGACATTTCTCCTTATTTCTGCGCTAATGAGACCAACCTAGAAAATAGTTGTCAGAAAGCAAACACCCGTTGTCAGGGGCTCAGGGAGGAAGTATCAAGTGATAATCAGACTGGTGCACTAAGAAGCTTAAGAAGAGGTCAGCATAAACTTGTTCAACAGTTGTTAATATCACAGCTGGTGAAAATAATGAGCGGATGTGCTATTATTTGCTGCTGCTTATATGAAATACTGTTTAATAAAAATGATGAAACATCATGGATCACAAGACAAATCTATAATCACAATTTATATATGTTAGATAAGAGGATTGGTCCTCAGCTACTATTTTTTTTCCAGAAATAATAAGCCCTTTTTTTTAGTTGTTTGAAACTATAGGCAACAAGGTTTTCTGAAAAATCTGGCAGTAGCTGAGGGCACTAGAAACACAGTCACCTGTGGTGTTCAGTATGTTGGCCTCTCCCTGGACTAGGTGTGGTTGAAAACAGTGGAAGGATTTGTAACCTTGTTTACCTTCTTATCAAGTGATTCATGAGTAGACAGAGACATGTTGAACCTCTCTCACTTCACTGGTGTGTTTGCTCCCCTTGTTACTGGAGTTTGTGCTTTTATCTGGAAATACCGTTGAAGCGTTGCCGCAGAGTAGAACAATCACTGGGTGTCCCTGGAAAGCAGAGGTGTGATTTGGTATATTGTCAGTGTCACTAGGAATCTGTAAGTGTGTCTGAAGACTTTCTTAGGAAGAGGATTCACTCGTACTAACGTTATGGCAGGAAATGTCTGGTATATGCAGTCTCAACTTCACAAGTAGTGCCACTGCGTGTGCATCGTGGTGGCAGGATGGCACAGGTACTGTAAGCAACTTGGGACTGGAAGCCCCCTTCGCACTTACAAAAACAGTGTTGCAGCTGGTCAGATTTGTCAGAAGCTTGAAAGTCAAACTACAAGGTAAAGTCTGCTTGTGAATAATTGAATGTGCCTGCTTTTCTCACCCTTGCATATTCTACTGTGAGGCTTTAGGATTTTATAGCCTTGGAGTCTGTTGCTAGTTCAAACTAAGCACGGCGTCACCCAATAGTGGGAGTAGAGTGGGCTTTTTTTGTTCATCTTGAGAACAGCAGTTGTCAATTTTCTAACTTAAAAACATTAAACCAAAGATTGTAATTGCTCTAATTTCTCAGCAACTCCTGTGAGTCATGGTCAAGTTTTCTCTGGACCTGTGTCTTACTGGTTTAGGCTGTTAATTTGAGCACACTGCTTCCCAGCCAAACTGTAGAATATAAAGAGGCTGGAAAACGCAAGAGCTAAGTTCTAGTTATCTTAAAAAAGATTTTACAAATGAAAACAAAAACTAAGAAAAAAAATAATATCTGTTCTATTAAACATACTGTAACTTGATTTTTTCCGTTAAGTCTTTCATGTTGCTTAGTCAGGAAAAATGGTGGATTCACTCAGTTCTGGTTTGAATTATGGAACTGCAGAGCCTTAAGTAAATATCTAAAGCCAAAGGAAAATAGGCAATTAACATTTGTTTTGGCTTTTAAATATTAGATTTTCTTAGTTGTTTTGAGAGAAGTAGGCAAAGAAAATACTGAACAAAAGCCATGTTTATTAGTAAATTAATTGCCATTGACTGGCAGTGTGACAGGCTATTTGTCCAGTGGAGTTTGTTATTAACGGGGCTTCATTTTGCATCCACAAATCTTGCACAAGGATTTGCCCTGGCAATGGGTTTCCCGTAATTAACAATTAAGGAAGAATATGACATGAACCAAAAGGAATTTTGCTTTGACACACTCTCTCAGCAGTTCCTGTATTGTTTTGGGTGGTGAGACTCTGTAAGGAGAGTTTTGTGATCAGTGAAAGAAGAGGTGGGCCTCAGACGCAGTGAAATCCTGTAGCTATCAACCTGCTTGGCGTAAGAAGCCTTACCTAAGCGCTGCTTTTACTGTCTGCACCTGATGCTCTCAGGTAGGCTCCCATCCTCCGAAACAAGACTTCCCTGCTGCTGTATGTACTTAATAGGCAAGAAGCTTCCCTGCACTCTTTTTCCTGATATCTTCTTACCTTATAGCAGGTTAATAGTAGCCCATTAGCTCAACCCTACAACTGTTTTTAAGATTAATCCTCTGATTGTTTTGGCTTCCTGTACACATTGTAAAAACCCAGCCTGTCTCTTTGATGAGGTCAGCTCGTGTGGACTTTAGAAATCCCTTTGCAAATGTGGGCTTTGTGGTAACATTGCCTGAATCAAAAACAATGCCTGACTTGCATTTTACCACACTGTAAATATTTGCAGACATCTTAGTGATGGTGAGGTAATTTGACATGAAGGCTCTTTGCCGTGCTGTTACTGTGTTTGCTAAAATAACGTCTGAAAACATGCCAGTGTTTAAGGATAGCAGAGTTCCTTGCAATTTTGAATGCTCACTTTTAGGGAGATAGCAGTACTTAAACTTGGTTTCCTAGCATTTCAGCGCAAACTTCTCAATGTTTTTTTGTTCTGTTAAAACTCATATTGGTGACTTTTTCCTGGAGTGCTGAGTAGATGATGGAATCTGGCTGGTTTCACAGCTGTGTTTTGATAACAGTCTCCTCCCCACGGTGGCCTGTACACCAAAGTTTCTCTGTAACCAGGGACCCGATTGGTCTTGCTGAAAATTAGGAAGATCTCTAATAACCTTCCTCTGTGCTGCTTGGAGTAGTTGATAAAAGTGTACTCTGCACAGTATTTTTTTTCAGTGAATGATGTTTTAAAGATGCACAATAGTTTTCTTACAGCCTGCTCTTGATTTGCTGGTTTTTTAACCATTCCTGTGGCTCTATAAAGGGGGCAATATTCTTGTGGCTGTTCCGTCCCAGTAAAGCTGACTGTTAGCATTGCATAAGGAAGGACAACAGCCCCGTGGCACTGTAGTCGTTAAGCATATCAGAGGTGTTTTGAGTGAACATTTGGAGAAAGTTTGGAGTTTTTTCCCCCCACTATTGTTGCTAAATAACAGTTAACGTAAGAGGGATGGGCATGCAAGTGTTCTCCCTTGCATTCCCATCAGGCTGGTAACAGCAATTTGGACTGTTGCCAGGAGAGCTTTCCAGCTGTTCTGGCAAATTTTGTTTGGAGTAGAGTTAATAAAGCTGTGATGGTTGCTGTATAATGTGCTACATTGTTAAAATAATCTGCTGCTCTGTCTTACACAGTTGTAAGGTGTGTTTAATATTAAAAATAGAACCCCACTCCTCTTTTGCTGATGCCAGCTCTATAGGAGGCAACAAGTTATAAATAAGTAGCTTGTTTCTTGCTGGAGGCTGTTAGTAAAATCAGCTAGTACTACAGTGTTCAAGTCGTTTTCTAAAAACTTGTTACGATTTCAGAAGTTTTCACATTGAAGTTTCTCACGTGGTTGTTTTTTTACATTTACTTTACTTAATTTAATACATTTACTAATATATTTACTTTAAACCAGTCCTATTGCATATGATTTGCATTTAGTAGCATAGCGATGTGGTCAGAAAAGATCTATTTTGAATTACAAATTTATTCTTCTGTCTGTTTCTGATTATTTCAACTTTGCTTTTCCAGAGGGAAAAAAAAATAGTACAAGTTCTAGTTTGCAGGCTTCTGAAACCAGTCTTTGCAGATAACAGGATTTATTGAGACATGGTTTGCAAAGTCAGTGGTAGGAGGGTTTGGCTTTTGGAATTTGAAAGAAATTTGTTCTACTCTGGACATTAAAAATAAATAAGCAAAAGATCTTGCAAAACCTCAAAGTCCTGATCATCTGTTGCATACCACAGCTGCCTCTTGTTGGGGTGACCCCTTCGTGTGACCCCTGAGCTTTGGTGACTCGAGTGTGCTCCGTAGCGTTCCGCAGAGAGCGGGAGCTGGCACAGCTGTCCTTTCCTGAACCTGCTGCACGTGATCTCTGCTGTGGTAGATCGCTTCCCTGCACTTTGGAGTGGTCTGTCCCTAGCACAATTTTTTTTTTGCCTGCTAGTTTGTCATAGAAGCCCTCATTAATTTTGCATTGCTCTGAGATGCACGGTTTCCTCTTCCAAGTGTAGTGCTACTGAATAAGTACAAAATAGATTCTTGCTTTTTAATACCTTGTTTAGTTGCTGCCCCTCGTTGTGACTTTTTGGACAAATTGCATTCCCTCTGTGTCAGATTTCATAGTCCCAATAAATACTTTTAATGCTTGGAAGAGGAAGTGTTGTGTAAACACAGAGGCGACTGTGCTGTCTTACAGGTGCTTGTCCTGTGTATGACAAGCTCAGGCAGTTGAAGGAATGCTGTCTGAGCTATTCCTTTTACCGTTTTGTTTTACTTTTTCTGCAGCTTCCACCCGTTTTGTGAAGTGTGAGAAGTGTCACCACTTTTTTGTTGTACTGTCAGAGGCAGACACAAAAAAGAGCATCATTAAAGAGCCCGAGTCAGCAGCAGAAGCTGTGAAATTGGCATTCCAGCAGAAGCCACCGCCTCCACCAAAAAAGGTATGGTTCTTAATGTCAGCCCAGTGTTTCCTTGTGTTACAGTGTGGTGAAATGCTTTGCTTCTTGATCTGCATCAGGTGTGTAACGGTCTACTGTGACAGAGCAACAAACAGTAAAGACGATTAGCTCCAGATTAAACCTTTGGGAGCTATGTGACCCAGCAGAGCACTGATGAAGGGAACAAGCAGATCCAATGAAAGTAGCTGGGCTTGTTTTCCTCTGCCTTTGTCGTGTGACTGAAGTCCAGTACCTTCATTTTCTCCTTGGGACCCTGAGGCTAACCTCAACCCTCACTAGCCGTAGCATCTTTAATTTCCTGCTATGGCCTCATATTCTGCACTCTTATGTTGGCAGCTTCCTTCTGTAGCTGCAGAACTTTTTATTTGGCCTGTTTCTGGATGCAGAGTGTGGCTGATCAGCTCGTGGCTTGACCCATCTGAAGTCATTTGGTTTCCTGCTCCCGATTAGTGAGGGAGTTTGTTGCATTTCTCAGTTTCTAGTGAACTATAATGGTTTCTGAAGCTGCATGTGGCTCCTGGATAGGCATCTTCTAAGAAATTAAGTATTCTTGAAATTTCTGTTCCTCTTACAAATATGGGTGAAAATTACGATGGGTTTAAATACTGGTAGGATGAGAACTGACAGACACAATACGATTGTGTAAGCCCTATGTTTTTAAGTAAACTTACCAACAGGAATGTATTTTGGGTGTTGAGTTTCAGTTTCTTAGTTCTATAGTGGTTGGTTTAGACCAAAGCCCACCTTTGGCACAATATACTGGGGTGGTTGTTTTTTTCTTTTTTTTGTCTGCAAGGTGGTTTAGAAATGTTGCTGAGATTGAGTTATTTTTCAGATTTATAACTACCTCGACAAATATGTTGTTGGTCAGTGTTTTGCCAAGAAGGTGCTTTCAGTTGCTGTGTACAATCATTACAAGAGAATCTACAATAACATCCCAGCTAACCTGAGACAGCAGGCAGAAGTTGAAAAGCAGGCTTCTTTAACACCGAGAGGTTTGTGTGATGTTTGGTATTTTTCTGGTCAAATAAAGCTTACCGTTTCAGGGCTCCAACTTAAGAAACCTGAGAGAGGTTTTACCTCAACACTAGATGTTCTGTAAGTGGAATGAGCCAAAAGAGTTTCTATTAAATTTAGTTTTCACTGTATGTAAACTTCTGTGATATATTTAAAAGCCGGCGAGAAGGTTTGTGATGCTATGGGTATTGCCTGACATATTACATGGTTAACATTTTTTACTGACACATGTTGTTAGGTATTTTCCTTTAACTTTATAAAGCGAGCTTCCTAAACTTTCCTTTCTAATCTCATTTACTGCTTAACGGTAAATCTGCTGCTTAATCTGCAAGCAACAATGCAGATCCTGAAGATATTTGATGAATAGCTAGCCTTCTAGCCTCGCTTGCTGTGGTTGGCAGCATCTGTTGGTCACCACAGTATTGTTCCATATCTAAGGAGGTGTAGACAGAGTTACTCTTGGCAGTACTCTTGCTACTGAGTAAGTGTGTAGCTATGTTGATCTGATTTATTTTTAGAAGTAGGATTAAGTTACTGTCTCTGATTCAAAGTGTACCTTGATTTTTTTTTTAAGGTGTTTTTTTCTGTCTTGCAATAAATAGCAAACAGAATCTTCTTTGTTTTTTGAATTTGTGTAAAGAAGTATTTAAACTGAGGGGGAAACGTTGGTAGGACTGTTCTGATAGTGGTAGGAGAGCAGTTGTGTGCCTAACCTGGCACAGGGAAGTTCCTGACCCTCCACAGGAAGATAGATTGGTGCACACCCAGAGGGACTGGCAGTGAGTGTTTATAACAGATAGTGCTTTGAAATGTGGGAAATCTTACATGGTAACACTCAGATATAAATGTGAGTATTTAAGGAAGCCTTTTCAAAACAAAATTAGATTATAGCATTTTTCTTCCCCTTCTGTAAGTGGTTTTAAAATGAAGATCTAATCTGAGGTAATAGATTGCTACTGTTTTAAGTAGTAAAAAGCTTGCTGTCATTTTAAAAGCATGCAAGTTGGGTTTTGGGTTGACAGCAATAGAAACTAATTCATGTGGGGATTTCTTGTTAGAAATACATTCATACAGAGTGATGAGATGTATTCAGAAGAGGGCAAGAGGTGGAGAATTTATAAGCTTTTATAAACTTTATTACTGTTTTCATCCTCTCTCTTAGAATTAGAGATCAGAAGACGGGAGGATGAGTACAGATTTACAAGTAAGTGAACTCTCTCCTCGTGTCCTCCTCTGCAATATCTACTCTTTTGATGTCAATGTAGAATAGTCTTTAGTGACCACTAGCTGGAAATGCTGGGTAAAATTGTGTTTGCTTTTCTTCTATAAGTAAATTTAATTGATAGCATTGAGGGTGTTTTTAACAGAGGTGACTAGGACTTGACGCTTTATCTAGTTCTAGGTGGAAAACACGTAAATTGTAAAAATCTCTTTTAGGAATTTGGTTAAATAATTATCTGTCCTTAGAATTATTCTCTGTAGACCAAGTGAAATTTTTTTTTTTTTTTTTTTGACTTAAATCTGAGGTGTGATAATGTTAGTAATGCCATACAAAGTATGATGTGAGGTAGATAATAAAGGAAGTTATGCAACTCTTTTCTGCAAAGTCCTTGTACTCTTAAAAGGCGCTGTTGCCTTGAACCTCAGAATGCCTTTTTTTTTGGTCTGGGTGATGTCAGTTAAATTTGTTTTCAGTCCGCCGGAATTCTCACTGACTATTGAACTTCTTCCTTAGTCTAGTGTAGGTCAGTTTGCAATCCCAGTTATATCTCTTCAAACCAGTTTTCTTAATCTTCACTTATCTACCCTGTGAGCCAATTAAAACTAGCACTCTGAACAAAAAGAAAATCCAGCTCGATCTCCACATCCATGTGTAGAGACAAAACCTCGTAACAACTGAACTAAGACAAGTCTTTAAGTCTTGAGAGTAGACCTGTGCATTGCTTTTGTAGTTGTCATAGTATGCCAGTTCTCTCATCGTAGAGACCAGCACTTTGGGTGTTTTCTTCTTGGGTGTTAAAAATATTATTAAAAATTACAGTTAAAATGAACTAATTTGAAAGTACTGAAAATTTCTCTTGTTTTTGATGTAGAAGAATATTTTTAGACAATCCACTATACCACTGGAAATTTTTTGATATATACAAATAGGTGCTTGTGCAAAAATACGGTTGGAACTCCTGATTTTGTAGTAATCGTGCCATATTTGTGTAGCAGTCCAATCTGTAAACTTCTGTACGGACAGAGTGAGTTATAGGCTTGCAGAACAAAACCAGAATCAAGCTTTTATTGTGTATTAAGGCAATGGCACACCTTGTCTGTGCTCAAACAGTGCTGTTATTGTTCTCTTCAGAACTACTGCAGATTGCTGGAATCAGTCCACACGGTAATGCTTTAGGAGCATCGATGCAGCAACAAATGAACCAGCAGATACCTCAGGAAAAACGGGGAGGAGAAGTACTAGATTCGCCCAATGATGACATAAAACTTGAAAAAAGTAATATTTTGCTGCTTGGACCAACTGGATCAGGTATACAGTGGCATGTTTTTATAGATGTCAGACTTTTCTTAGAATTGATTGTTGATGAGTCACTTTTCTCTTTTATGACTATTCCAATTTGGTGTATAAAAAGCTAAACTGTGAATTCCAATTTTTGTGCTTTTATGCCATGATAACAAGCTGAGCTAAATGTCCTTGAGAAGAAAGGAGGTCTGGTCATGTGGGTTTCTTTTTTTTTTTGTTTTTTTAGTTTAAATGTCTGTGTTTGTTTACTGACTGATTAAAAGGTACAAGTTTCACTGAGCTGAAATAAAACGTACTTAAAGTTTCTCTGCTCTAGATGGCAAGTTGAGATGCTGTGGTTAGAAAATGTTTCATCTCTGGGACAGATCAGTTATGGGGGGTTAAAAGAGGAATTTGTGTCTTCATAAAAAGTGGGAGTGTTTGTGCTGAAGCAATAGCATTTTGCAGACTATTTGGGAGAACATTCACTAAATAATATTTTAATTTTGCTTCTTCCCAACTTCAAAGGAGGAGCAGTGGGACTTTGCACTGCACCCTGAGTGTCTGCAAAGGGCTGCTGACTTATTCAATCTTTTATCTATGCAAGTACATGTATTTTGTTTTTTATATTGTGTGACATTTTATTTGTGATACCGTATGTGTTTCAAGCTGCCTCAAATGTATAGTATTAGTCTAATTCAGCAGTACGGCTTGCCAACACAAAAAACACTGTGCATGAAAACTGGCTTCCTTGGAAAATATTTTTGTATGAATATATGAACATGCTGGCATCATTCAAAATGTCTAATGATGGTAACAATGATCCTGTGGTAAATATTTGGGTTTGTGTGCTCTAGAGAAATGTATGGAAGTTAAAACAGACAGTTTTTATTTTACCAGGTAAAACCTTGCTGGCTCAGACTCTAGCTAAATGCCTAGATGTACCTTTTGCTATCTGTGATTGTACTACCTTGACTCAAGCTGGCTATGTTGGTGAAGACATTGAATCTGTCATCGCGAAACTCCTGCAAGATGCCAACTACAATGTAGAAAAAGCTCAGCAAGGTAAAGGGTTACAGTATGTTTCCTGAGGTTTGTTCATAGACTATGTTAATCTCCCCTCAGCGCTCTAAACTGAGACCACCAGTATTTCTGTAACTTACATTCCTGTTGCATGTACCTGAATTTTAACACTTTAAATCAGAAAGAAGAAGAGAGCTCTAAACGTAGAATCACAGAATAGTAGGGGTTGGAAGGGACCTCTGCGGGTCATCTAGTCCAACCCTCCTGCCGAAGCAGGGTCACCTACAGCAGTAAACATACCTTGTAGTTGTTGTTTTTGTCCATGGTTTTGCTTATGTTCTGTTCATATGTTTTCACAGTCTGCCATATGGAAGTAGAATAGATTGCAGCTATCTTAAATTATGTTCTTCCCCATGTGCAAGTTCTCGCTTCTCTTAAAAAGTGGAGTCTTCCTTAAATCCCTTTTCTGTAACTGCAGGAATTGTTTTTCTGGATGAAGTGGATAAGATTGGCAGCGTTCCTGGTATTCATCAGTTACGGGATGTCGGAGGAGAAGGTGTTCAACAAGTAGGTCTTTCTGTGGGGTGATTTTACTTCGTAAGCAAACAGCCCATCAAGTCTACGTATCATCCTATCGTATGTCAAATAGCGTGGAGTGTATAGAGTCATAGTTCTTCGGTTCCTGAACTATTAACCTTTGAAACCCTCATCCTCCTTTTTGCTTTCTTCATTCCAAAAAAAATCTCAGAAGCAACTCGAGACTGCTTCATAGAAACTTCTTAATTGAAAAATGTCTTTGCAGCATTCAGATAGTGAGTTGTGTGATGTAGGCAAGAATAGATAACACTTTCCATTTTGACAAAATTCTTAAAGCAACTCGTTGCTGAGTGCAGCTCATAATGTGCATGAGAGACACATTAAAGAAATATTTTTTTCTGTCCTTGAATGGAATTGTTTGTAGTATGTGGAAACCTGATTTCTTTATAGACATTTACTGCTACTATAAAGGCATAAGGGATTAAAAATGTAAATACAGCTGTGAAAATAAACACAGTGTGATGTGCCGCCTTACATGATGCTATACGGTGGAATTTTATATTGCTTATTTCTTCTTTCCTTCTTAGGGCTTGTTAAAATTGCTAGAAGGCACGATAGTAAACGTTCCAGAAAAGAACTCTCGTAAACTGCGTGGAGAAACGGTGCAGGTTGACACAACAAACATCCTCTTTGTAGCTTCTGGTGCTTTTAATGGTCTTGACCGAATTATCAGCAGGAGGAAAAATGAAAAAGTGAGTGCATCAGGATGTACTTGAACTGAAAAATTATCTTAATTACTGTTCACAGTACTGACTCCTAAAGGTCTTTCTGTATTTGTAAACCCACTAAGTTTTTTTGTAGAGCAGTGGTTTTCCATCTGTTACCTGGGAACCTGAGGTCAAGCCTGAGAAAGGTAGCAAAGGACAAGCCTATTGCTAGTAGGCTTAAGGAGCTTGCAGTGGTCTCCGCTTCCACAGAGCAATTTTTAGCATATGCAAATGAGGGGGGGCGGGGGGGGGGAAATAAACGGGGGGGCGGACAAGGCCTTAAAAGTGTTAGTAGAGGACTTGCTGTCCATACTTATGTGATAAACTTTATACATTGTTGTCATGCCCTATGTTACTTAAAAACACAATATGTGAAACAGTTACAGCAATTATAACAGGGTTTCTTGCAGTTGCAGTGTACCAAGTATGAAACTGAGAAAAAGCTTTTTTTCTAGTGATATCCATTCTTGTATGCATGTGCTTCACTTCTGAAGAGCCCTTTTTAGTGTCACTGGTATTTGTAAACTTAACAGGACACTGCTAACTTTTTTTTAATTTTAAGAAAAAACTTACTCAGTCTGGTGTGTGGATACCTTACTGAGGGAATGAAATGTTACAAGAAATTGATTGTGTGCAAGGCATCCAATTTTACTATAAGTGATTTCTTGAGCTTGAATTAATTTGTAATGACATAATCAGTCACTCCAGATTTTTTTTTTATGCACATGAAACATGATTTAGTTACATAAAGAAAACTTAACTATTACAGTTCTGTAAGCATAATGCATTTGTTTTGCAGTATCTAGGGTTTGGGACACCAGCTAATATGGGAAAAGGCAGAAGGGCTGCAGCAGCAGCTGATCTTGCAAACATAAGTGGAGAGTCCGATCCACATGAAGATATTGAAGAGAAGGATCGCTTGCTGCGTCATGTGGAAGCCAGAGATCTCATTGAGTTTGGCATGATTCCCGAGTTCGTGGGACGTTTGCCCGTTGTGGTTCCTCTGCACAGCCTAGATGAGAAAACCCTTGTACGGATTCTTACTGAGCCACGAAATGCTGTGGTTCCTCAGTACCAGGCACTATTCAGCATGGATAAGGTTTGAAGTTTTATTTGTTGACTCTTCAATATTCTTATTGATAAATATAGTGTTAAAGAGATCTAAAGTATGAGTTGAAATCACTTCTTTCCCTCTATGTGTTTCACCTCCCCACTCTGAAAAAAGTGAGATAAATTGTTAAAACCTGGCTGATTTAGATTGGGTAATTGTCCTTGTGGGGCAAGTAATCAGGGAGTAGTTGGGCTGCTCTTCATGTTAACGTTCAAATGAAGACCCGTGACCTTGCCTAATAGGCATGGAGAGCTACGTCATGTACAGTAGAGGTACTTACAGTAGTTGTAAGTAAAGGGACGTAGTCCATACCGGTAGCGTTAGTCAAAAACGAAGTGTACCTGAAGCTTTAGGTATGTAGCTTAAATGTTAAATGTTCTGGTCTGTAACAAGTAAATCGTTACTGTTTGTTATTTGCAGTAACGCTTGCACTGTCACATTAAACTCACTGAGTTATAAAGGAAAGAATTAACTGAACTTACCATTTTTTCTCTATGTAGTGTGAATTAAATGTAACTGAAGATGCACTGAAGGCTATAGCCAGACTGGCCCTGGACAGAAAAACTGGTGCAAGAGGTCTTCGATCTATAATGGTGAGTAAATTCAGTCTCGTACCAAGTAAATGAAGCTAACTACATTCGTGTGTGTGGACCTAATCATGACAATTTTCAGTCAAAACCTCACTTATCTCTGGGTCTTATTTGGATACAGTAAGTCTTTTTCTAAAACTGTGGGTATTTGGTTCTTCCAAGAAAAGCCTCTAGCTCTGCAAATCACTTGCGAACTGTATTGTTATGTAGAAGAGGGCATACAGAAATACTGTGGGGTTTTTTTTCCATGTCTGTTTTCTTGTAGGAAAAGCTGTTGCTGGAGCCCATGTTTGAAGTGCCCAATTCTGACATTGTATGCGTGGAAGTTGACAAAGATGTTGTAGAAGGCAAAAAAGAGCCAGGATACATTAGGTAAAACCATAACGGAAGTGTCAGAACAGACGAGTGGTACAGCGAGCCAGGTATTCTGATGTTTGCTGTAGGAGCAAGCGTATAAACACAAAACCATGCACACAACCCGAAAAGGATCCAATTCTCTGTATACTGTACACAGCTGAATTAGTGCCTGTTCTGTCCTAGAGACTTTGGGTTTGTATTGCTTTAGTTTTTAAACAGAAATTAAAAAATAAAATTATATGTAAAGTTACTTTAAGCCTTTTGTGTATGTGTATACCTGTAGAAATAGAAGTAAAGTATAAGCATCGTAAGTTAACAGTAAAAATCTGAAGTTTGTGACTGTACTGAAGTTTCTGAATAAGACCTTTTTCCTTTCTCCTTCTACTTTCTACTACTGACGGTTTTTTTTTTTGTTTAAGCAAGCTCCAGGCTGCTGCAGTTTTCTTTTGTATAGCTCTTGCAGCAGTGGAGAGCCACAGAGGCACATCTATGGATTTGCTGAACTTGTGTTAAAATTATCAATTTAACATTGTGAAGATTGTATTATGGTAATGATATGGTGGAATGCTTAAAGCAATCTGGGTTTAAAAAAAAATTAATCTTAATTTTTGGTGAACAGAGGATGGAGTTGAGAGGGAGTGGGTCAGGTTAAAAACACAGGTCTGAAATTTAGGAACTCTGACTTGGTTTCTACCTCAACAACTTTTTTGAGTGACTTTCTCCACTGAGATACATGCCTTGTATTCGTCTGCACCTGCTGAAGCTTGGCTTGGCACACCTGGTGTCTCCAAGGGAATGGCTGGGCTGGAAAGGGATCGCTCCTACAGCGATGGTTGCTTTAAGGGATTTTGTAGAGCACCAGCACCCATGTTTGCTGAAAATGCAAAATTTACTAATTAAATCGAATGACTTTACTGAAAATCAAAAAGATAATGAATTCAGTAATGAGGCTGTGTACTGGTGGTAGTGCAGACCTGCACAGCTTGCAGGTGACGTGTTTACCAGGAGCTATGGAAACTGTCTCCATTCTTGTCCTCATTTCCTGAAGTATCTGATCAGTTCGTTTTAATTATAGGGCTCCCAGTAAAGACTCATCCGAGGAAGAATACGACTCTGGCGTTGAGGAAGATGGCTGGCCTCGACAAGCAGACGCTGCAAACCATTGAATACTGTCAGAACGCTCACCTGCATAGAGCCCACTTGGTTATTTCCCTACGATTGCCTCTGGCTTCAGTCTGATACTCAAGGCATTGGATCTATCTCGGATATGCTACGTGATGAGGAACTTTATTAGATAAATCAGATCATATATTTTATTGCAACATCACAGTGATTTATTTGATGGACATTGTGTGGACTTGGATGGCATAATGTTCAAATATGAATTGTATATTACACCTGTTCAATTAAAATGTATAGCGAATATAGCAGCACCTGGATTGCTCCAGCTGGAAACTAAGCCAGCAATGCAGGTGCTGCCAATAGTTAGATTTTACAATAATGTTACTCTGCAAATGGGAAATGGAGATTAATAATTAGTGGAGGGTGAATAAACTCTTAGCTCCTCGTACGACTCGCAGGGGGTTACGTTGAGGTCAGTGTTAGATTTCTGCCGGTGTTTGGAACCCGGCAGGCGCTGGAGTGATTTGTTACATGGGTGGGGAAGGAAGCCCTGGCGACAGAGGAGTTTGGGAAAACGGGGACACACTTTATGACACTGCTGGGAGATTTGGCTAAAATGCGACACTAGCTTGTTACAGTAATTTGAATGCAATATCAAATAATATCCTTTCCTTCACCTCTCCGTTAGGAGCGAGCTTCGGTCACCTTGAATACTGTGAAAGAAGGTGAAGTCAGTAATTGGCTAATTTTTCCAGAAGGGTAAACAGGATTTCTAGGAAGCGGTAAGCCATCTGAATTTGGACGAGAAGTCGGCATAAATTTTTAAATATTAATGTTCTAATATAGTACATTTTGTTTAACGTATTGGAACTATCATGCATCAATTTTTTGGTGCCAGGTATTTGCCCAACCTATCTTATAATGTTAAGAGATGAAAGAAGTAAATGTATAATATTTTTGATGTAATCGTTAGTGATTGTTCACATGACTCAGTGCTTTTTAAGTTATACGCTCAAAGGCTAGCATTGCATCTTGTGGTTTTGTCTTTGATTTTTAGTCTCGCGGCGAAGCAACTCTCCCTCTTCTGTTCTACACCCAAATTAATTCAATCCTTTAGGAAAGTCTTTGTAAAAACACTAAAGGACCTGTACGTTTTTGATTGGTTTCAGGAATTAAAATTGTTGCTTACACCTTTGCTTTGTCCTTCGGTGATACGTGGACTCCAGTTTGACCCACGCTTTTTTCTAAAATTTTAATTCGCGCTCTTTAAATACAGCTTTCATCATTCTTTTAAGTCTAGTGGATGTTTTAGGACAAGCAGGGATACTGCAAACGCCTTGACCCTATGTTTGTTGTTAATTTTTGTCGTGTAAATTTTATGTAATACTTGTCTTACCTAGAAGCAGCGTGACATGCAGTGGTGGCCAGATGCAACAGATACTTCCCTTGGGCTTTCAGGGTGTTTTTCAGGTTAAATGACCTACTAATGGTTCAGAGGAAAAAAAGCTGCGTTTGGAGTTGAGGGTATTTCTAGGAGAGGAGAAGCTTGGTCCCCTCACCGTGGGACTCTGTGGTGAACTATCTGTGCCTGCATCCTCGCTTCCCTTTTTGTAGGGTGAAAAGAATATAACCGCTTTTACTTCTGAATCCTTTAATTCCAATCCTTTTTTAAACGGGTGGAAAACCCAACATTTCAGGCGCAAACTGTTTAACAACTTGGTTTTGAAAGTTGTTTGGAATTCCGTAGCTGAGAACTGTTTTTAAGGAAACAAAATGCCGTGTAACTACAGTTTGTACTTCACCTCTGGCGTTTGAATAAAACAAAGCGATTATTCAAGCAGCGGAGAGTTGTCATCCCTGACGCCATCCCCAGAAATGTTAATGTTGTGGGTGTTTGGGAGCTTTTCAGGCTTTTTTTCTTTTTTTCACTCTT